CACTATTTTGAATTTTACAATTATGATTTCGGGTTCGTAATCAGCGACCCGAGAAAGCCCTGAATACTACTTTACATAAAAATAAAAATTATTTTTGAATTATTGGTCCGCTATATTGGATCCGCCATTTTGAAGTTTGGAATTCTGACTTTGAATTCGTAATCAGCGACCCCAAAAACAACCAAGTATACTATTAGAGGAAAAATGATAGAAAAATTCGTGACACAAAGGGTTAATAACTCTCTGCTGGCACGATCCAGAAGATTGGCATCTTGCCGAGGACTTTTTTGGAATATGGAGATGGATCTCTACTCACTCCTTTCGTTACAGATATTTGAGGATTGTATAATTCCTCTCGGATTAACTCTCGGATTATCTCCGAGTTGGACGGCGGCCGAAACCTCCTTAATCGTAGCGGTGTCTTCCACGGTTGGAAAATGTGGCTAACAATTATATCGCGGACTTTACAAATATAGTTAAAACTAAAGATTATGACAGGTAATAAGTATATGTCGATAACAAGCGCACAAGTGAACAATAACAACTTCACTCCTTGAAAGCTCAAAGTGAACTGACGAGAACTAGTATTTTCAATGCGATATAGACGTTGACGATGAAAGGTATACAATTATACATATATTTTGCGTATTTGAAAAAAATTAGTCAATGGAAAAAAAAGTTTAGATCTGAACCGGCTTATTTTGACGTCGATCGACGAGTCATTTCTCACTGGGACTTGGTGTTTAGTTAAACATCAAGTCCCAGTGAGAAATGGTTCTTCGACGTCAAATCGACATCGAAATCGTCGGGTGTATATCAGTTGGACACGGGGCAATTGGACACAGTCCAATCACAAGTCGCTGTTCCAAGGAACCCTACAAATGTCTCTAATCACACGGTGCTGTGATTGGCTGTGTCTAAATGCACCGTGTCCAAGTGCACCGCTCCCGAAATCGTCAAGTCACCGTCGATTCGACGTCTTTTCGATGTCGATCTATGAGTCATTTCTCACTAGGACAACAATAACATAATGTCAATGTTACAATTTCGCACTCAACAGTATAATTCCCAGTGATAAATGACTCGTCGATTAACGTCAAAAGGACGTCAAATCGACGTCGATTTGACGTCTTTTTAACATCGATCAAAGAATCATTTCTCACTGAGATTGTTACATAATACACGCGTTATATAATAGTTACATTGTTGAGTAGGAAATTTAACATTAATGTTATGTTACTGTTACGTACCCACGTAGCACAAAGCACTTGCAAAGCGCTCATATAGCGCTTTTATAGCAGTAACCCGGGACTTCCGTTTCCGGTGCAGATGATAGCGGTTGGAGTGAGTTGTAAGGGGATAAAAATTGTGTCTGGAGAGTGAATGAGAGTGAGTGTAATGGTGATAGGAGAGGAGGGGAGGGTGCGAATGAATGTATGTGTGGTGGAGTTAAAAGGTTACTGAGGAGAAGTGGGTGAGAGAGTAGAAGGGAGAGTAAAAGGTGGTTAGAGTTAGAGAGGTTAGGTTTAGATGACAGTGAGTTTTAGAGGAAATTGAGAGAAGAGAGAGACATCTAGCGGAGTGAGTAAGAGGGAAAGATAAAAGAACTAAGTAGGTAACTTACTTGTGTGAGAGGATAAGTGGGTAATAGAGGAGATAATAGATAAAGGAAAGGGGCGGACAGTTGAAAAGAGTTGAAAGAGAAAGAAGGAATAGTGCAGATATGCTAGAGGATTTCTTGAAAAAGAAAAAAGGTTTTGAGGAAGTTAGAGAGGAAGAGAGGGAAAAGGAGGCAGGGGGAGCATTTAAAAAAAGTAGGAAGACGCATAGATCGCCGGAAGGAAATATGAAGGAGGTGGGGGAGGGAAAATTGGAGGGTATGATGAAGGAAATGATGAAGAAGACGAGAATGATGTGGGGTAGAGTGGAGGAGAGCCTGGGTGGTATAAGAAGGGAGATAGAGGAAATTAGAATAAAGGAGGAAGAATGGAAGGTAGAGAGGGAGAGGCTGGAGGAAAGGATTACAATTTTGGAAAGGAAGTTCGAGGGAAGTGATAAAGGAAGGGACAGGAGTGAATTAGAAGGGTTGGAAAAAAGAATGAGGATGTTGGAAGTAGGGGTGAAAGGAAGTTTAGAAAGGATGGGAACAGGGTTAATAAGAAGAATGGAGGGAAGGATAGAGGAGATGGAGAAGAGGATGGAGAGAACGGATAGGGAAGAGAAAAAGAACAATATAGTGGTGAAAGGGATAAAGTTTGATAAAGGAAAAGAGATCGAACAAATTGAGAAAGTTTTGAAAGATATTGCGGGGGATGTGAAGGTGGGGAAGGTAAGCTAAGAATAGGGAAAGAGGAGTGGGGAGATATGGTTGTAATAAGACTAGAGGGTGAGGAGGAAAAAAAGGGTGATGAATGGAAAGGGGAAACTGAAAGAAGGGAACATATGGATAGCAGAGGATTTGTCATAGAAAGGGAGGAGGACAAGATGGAGGATAAGAGAGGTGGCAAGGAAGGAGGAAGGGAAAGGGAATAAGGTGAGGATAGGTAATAAGAGGATACCTATAAATGGAAAATGGTAGTTTTGGGAGGAAAGGGAGAAAAGGCTGGTGGACTGGAGAGGGACGGGAAGAGTACAGGAGGAATTGAGGAATGGATCGGTGAGGGAAGGGGAGAAGGGGGGGAAAGGGAGCTGATTAAGAGAAAGAGGGGTGGAGAATAGGAGGAGAATGGGGGTTGAGAGAGGTGGGCACGAGAGATATGGATAAGAAAAGGGAAGAGACATTTAATGTGGTGTTCTGGAATGTGGCGGGGTTGGATAATAAAGGTAAGAATTTTTGGGAAGGGACGAGAGGGTGGGATATAATGTTCCTATGCGAGACATGATTGGATAAGAAAGGGTGGGAGAGAGTAAGAGAACGTTTATCGAGGGAATATAGTTGGGATGTGCAATTGGTAAAGAGGAGAAATAAGAGTGGGAGGGCAATGGGGGGGATGGTGGTGGGGATTATGTTAGGGATAATGGTGGAAAAAATAGTAATGATAGGGGAAGTGGAAGGGATTTTAGCAGCGGAGGTTAAGGTGGGGGAGGATAGGTGAAGGGTGGTGAGGGTTTATGTGAATGGTGATATTGAGGATAAGATGAGGATATTAAGAGGCTGGATGGAGGTAAATGAGGAAGAGGTAAGTACGATTATAGGAGGAGATTTTAATGCTAGGACGGGGGAGGAATTGAGGAGGAGAATTAGAAAGTATTAGAGGGAGGAAGAAGATCGAAAGATAAGAAAATTAATAGAAAGGGGAGGGTATTGTTAAAAGTGATAAAGGAGACGGGGTGGGAAATCTTTAATGGGGGGGAGGAGTAAATGGAGATGAGGAGGGAGAATGGACATATATGGGAGAGAGGGGGGAGATCGTAATTGATTTGATATTAGGAAATAAAGAGATGAAAGGGAAAGTGGTAAAAATGGAGGTAGGGGATAATATGGAATCGGATCATCATCCAGTAATGATAAGGATGGACATTAGGAGTTGGAGAGAAGGAAAAGAATAGGAGAAGGAGGGAAGAATAAGTGGAGATGGACGGAGGGAGGAAGAGAGAAATTTTTTGCAGGTATGTGTTATTTTTTATTGTGATCTTTTCGCACGCGGGGAAGACGTGATATATTAAATGTGACTCGTTGTACCCTTTTTATACAGACATTTAGTTGTGTGTCAATACATGTGTGTGTGGGTGTGTGTGTGTGTGAGTCTTTTAAGTGTTCGCCGGGCCGCGGAATTTAGTTTGCTTTTCCGTGGGCTCTTTTCCCTTTTCCAGGCCCTCCTTCGCCTGGGACGCCGGGCGGAAATGCGCCGGTTCTCCTTGTCAGAGTGGTGATCGTCTTCGAGAGCAAACCTTGGAGATTGTGGTTGTCTCACTCGTGAATCTCCGTAGGCCAAGATCGTGATAGGTGACCGTATCAATGGCCGTCGCAGGATGTAGATCGTCTGCAGCTTCCACGGGGTGATAGTCCCCGTCGTGGAGGTGTCCGCGTTGCCCTCGGCGTGGTTGCTTGCGTTAGACGCTTTGTCAGCGTCTGTAAATACCGTTGCCGCTTCTACAGCGGATGCGACGATTGTGGACGCTTCTTTAGCGTCCGGAGACTTGGAACCGCTTCTACAGCCAATGCTGGGACGCTTCTTCAGTGCCAGGAGTCTCGGTGCCCGCTTCTTTAGCGGATGCGGCGGTCGCGACGTTTCTTCAGCGTTCGGAGACTCGGTGCCGTTTCTTCAGCGGATGCGGCGGTCGCGACGCTTTTTCAGCGTCTGGAGAGTCGGTGCCACGTCGCGGACGTGGCTTATAGCCGAGGCCGATAACTTTCTAGCTGCGGTAAAATGCTAGAGATAGCCAGACGGCGGATTGTGTCGATCCCCCGCGGGGTCCGGCCTTTTATTGTCTGTTAATCACGATTTTCTCGCGAGAAAACCCCTCCATGTGCGCGCCGCCAAACAGCGTCGCACGGAGACTCCAGCGGTTGCGGTGGCGGCTCGGCTAAGGGTGCCGCGCTGCCTATGTGGCAGTTGCGGCGGTCGTACGTCGTTTCTCGGGTGGATCTATATCGATCCACCACAAATTTAATAGTAGATTGGGGAAAATAAGGGTTGGTAACAAGAGAGTGGGGGCAATGTGGGGAGAAAGGAGGGAGAAAATTAATAAAATTTTAGAGGAAGAGTGAGGAAGAGGAGAGTGTAAGGATAAGAGTGGATGGTAGGATGAGGAATGTAGAAAGCGGAAAAAAGAGAGTGATAAGGGAGTAAAGGAAATGAAGAAGAGAGGAGGGAGAGGGAAAGAGTTACAGGGAGAAGAAAATAAGATACAGAAAGATAATAGAAAGGAGGAGGTGAGAAGAAAATGAAAGGTGGATGAAGGAGGTGAAAGAAGTAAAATCAGAGAGGCAAATATGGGAGATAGTGAGGAAGGAAAGAAGAAGAGGTAAAAAGTGAATGAGAGGGTAGAAATGGAGGATTGGGTAACGTATTTTAAGGGCTTGTTAAGAGGAGTGGAAGAGAAAGTAGTAAAAGGGACGAAAAGAGGGCTAAGGGAGGATGAGGAGGAGGGGTTAGGCAGGGGGAAATGAAAGAAGCGTTAAAAAGAATAAAGGATGGGGGTAGGAGGAGATGGGATTCCAGAGGGAGTATGGAGGAGAGAGGTTGGAGGAATGGAAATGGGAATTGTGTAATAGAGTTTGGAAGGGAAAGGGTTGGATTGAGAACTGGAAGGAAGGAATTATAGTTCCAGTGTTAAAGAAAGGTGAAGGGGATAAGGTGGAGGACTATAGGGGGTGATGCTGACATCGACTTTATACAAGATTTATACGGCGGTGTTAGCAAAAAGGCTAAAGGAGGAAATTGAAGGGAGAAGTTTATTATCAAAGAATCAAAGAATCGAGGTTCAGAAGAAGAATGGGGACAATGGACAATATTTATATTCTTAATTATCTAATAAATAAGGTTAGGTTATATTCCTAATTATCTAATTAATAAGGTTAGGTAGAAAAAAAGAGGGAGTTAGTAGCGTTTTTTTATAGATTTGAGGGCTGCGTTCGATTCGGTGGGTAGGAAGAAATTAATAGAGGCTATGAGGAAGAGAGGGGAAAGGGAGGGGTTGGTAAGAAGGTGTGGGAACGTGATAAACGAAACTAAAAATAGAATAAGGATAGGGTGGGTAACAGGTGAAAGTTTTTTGACGGGAGCGGGGGGAGACAGGGGTGTCCATTAAGCTTGCACCTATTCAATTTATTATTGGCAGACTTGGAAGAGGAATTAGAGAGAGGGAGATGGGGTAGTATAAGAATAGGGGGGAGGGAAAGTATATTCTTTGGCGTACGCGGACGATGTTGTTATAATGGCGGAGGAGGTGGAGAAGATGAAATAAACGATGTCAAGGAGGGATATTTGGAAAACAAGGGGTTAGAATTAAACACAGAGAAATCGAAAATTGTTAGGTTCAGGAGGGGAGGTGGGAGGGAAAAAAGAATGAATTGGAGATGGAGGGAAAGGGTGATAGAGGAGGTGGGGAAATTTAGAGACTTAGGATATGTCTTACAGAAAAATGGGGGACAGGAAGAGCATGTTAGGGAAAGGATAAGAAAAGGGGCAGTAGGTATATTATAGGGGTTCTAACCCTGGACCTCCGAGGGGGTACCGCGGGCGGGGGGTATGACGTCAGGGGGGATTGCGTTACCGCGGGGGGTTATGACGTCACCGCGGAGGGAAGGTATCATCGGTCGGTAATTGGGGGGGGGATACCGATGTTACCGACGGTCGGTAATTTTTAAGGATATTATATAACATTTAATTACATAAGTTTTTTACCAACATAATTTTTACCAACATATAATTACACAATACCGACGATCGGTAATTTATTGTCGATATTATATACCAACATTTAATTACTTAATTTTTATCAGCACATATATATTTTTACATAATTTTTACTGTCATATTTACATAATATCGATGATCGGTAATTACCGATATTATATAATTTTTTCTATCTGCTTTCAATAGATCATTTTACCGATCTGCGGCGGTTTTCGCGGCCGATTTTGTGCCGTCCGCGCCGCCCGCGCATTTTGCAGCGTGATTTTTTTAGTCACAGTTGCAAACTCTAATATTCTGCAAACGTATGCATTCGACAATTAGATGCGCAAGAACTAGAATGTGACACATGATATTCTTATTACTAATGAGCACGTACACTGTGTCCCCGCGACAAGATTTTGCAAGCGATGTATGCATTCGACAATTAGATGCGCAAGAAAAAGAATACGACACATGATATTCTTATTACTAATGAGCACGTACACTGTGCCCCCGCGACAAGATTTTGCATGTTCTACATCACTCGCTGCGCTCCGCAAAAAGACCGAATAACATTTTAAGACTTGTGATGTATCGAGAAAATATGGGAAAAGGTCTGATATACATAAACAGCAGATCTTGGGATTACAATTTATATATTTTGAAAGTGTTACATGTACAGATTATTTGTTCAATACTTCATACATAATATTATTCATTGCGCACGCCAATAGCTCGCAATCGATGAGTGAACCACCGTCAAAGTCCCCGCTATTGCGTATCGTCGATATAGAATTATCCGTTTCGGTGATATTCTTCTCTCGAAGAATTTTTACAAAATTTCTGCATTTTGTATTAACAATGTGTGTATTTTGGTCAATGCAATGCTCGAGAGTAAACAAATGTTCCACTGTA